TCTAGGACATGGATATTGATATGGGTGGAAACTAATCAAGGAGAGGAGTGAACTCCCGTGACTTGTCCCAGCTTCTGCCAACCTAGCAGTTCGAAAGCAGGTAAAAAAATACAAGTAGAAAAATAGGAACTACCTTTGGTGGGAAGGGAACAGCGTTCCGTGCGCCTTCGAAGGCATCGAGTCATGCCGGCCACATGACCACGGAGACGTCTTCGGACAGCGCTGGCTCTTCGGCTTTGAAACGGAGATGAGCACCGCCCCCTAGAGTCGGAAACGACTAGCACATGTGTGCGAGGGGAACCTTTACCTTTTTATATTTCTTTGAAATGTGTCGATCCTGGCTCCCTGCTGTTACAGCCCATAAAATCAAATGTAATTCCAGTTAAAACAATGCAAAAGGGAATCTTAACAAAAGGCAAACCTGTAATGTTATTTTTTTTTTAATCCTAAAAATTAGTCCGCAAATCCAAGTGAAAATAAATCAGTGGGTTGATTTGAGGATTTATTTTTATTTTTATTTTCTAATCGTTCCTTTTGGACGGCTCCCCTCCCTTCTGAGCTGAGCCCCCCCACCCCCCCCAAAAAAGGGTTGTGTTTAATAGCGTCATCTGCCATCAGTGGGTCCCAAATGATTCCAGCTCCAGAGGGTTGGGAGAAGATTAGCATGGTAATCTCATTCCAAAGGATAAAATTAGCCACAATATTTCCCCCCCGAATGGAAAACAGCCATTGGCGAGCTCCCGTGCTTAGAATCAATTACGAAATTACTCCGAGCTTTAAGCCGACATTAACAGGAAAGAATTGCCATCGACCAAAAAGGAAATCAGATAATAAAAAAAAATATGGCAATCATTAAATCCCTCTCGCTTCGACTTGCAAATGTGGCACACGAGGAAAGGCACCCAAAAATAAGGCGGAATTTAATTTTTCAGCGCAGCCCCTGTCATCGTTTCAGCCAGAGATCTCTCTGCACCTCAACATTCTGTTCTATGAAGACGTGGATTATTCCCTCTGCAGGAATCGGAGGAGAATACAAGGGGATTCTCAATGTAACCTTGGCCCAATCGGGAGCCATGTCCACGTTCAGAGCTGGGTTGCAAAGGGAGACACACAGAAGGGGGGAAGAACAGAAAAGCTGAAAATCAAATCTATCTATCTATCTATCTATCTATCTATCTATCTATCTATCTATCTATCTATCTATCTATCTATCTATCTATCTATCTATC